TCTTGAAGGTGGGTTTTGTTTGTAAGTTGCTTTTGTGTTCCTTAATACCTGAATAGCACAGATTTTTTTTAAATTAACTTTTTATTTTGTTTTGTTTTATTGCCTCCGGCCAAGTCATGGTATAGACCTTTAGTGTGTGGATCCTGGATTTGAACCCAGCCGACCTGACTTCATAACCCACTATTATATGTGCTACATGTGGGGGCGGTATTCATGCAGAGACCAGAGGAGGCCACCTGATGCTCGTTTTTATGATCAGAGACATGACCACTCTCTGAGCCTACAGCTGGTCGTGTGTCACACAAGCCCTGATGGTTCTCTGTTCTGCCCTAAATTAGCACTGTGGGGTTTAGAGTCAAGGGTATACCTTTATTCATGGGTGCTGGGATAGGAAACAGGCCCAACAAGTGTTCTTGCCCATTGATCCATCTATCCGGACCCCATGGGCCACCATCTTAACTGTTAGATTCTGTTGCCCCAGATCAGGGCATAGCATGCATGATAGGAACAATTTATGCCTTACGTAACTTGCTTTCAGTTATTCCTTACGTAGCTTGTTTTCATGTCTGCAGGTCATACAGACACTGTGGGCATAGGAACCGTTTAGCTACTACTGTGTGAGGTTTGCACAGTAATGACCACGTGGCCTGGAGGCTTAGCTAGGAATCACCTTGGGTTCTGAATTTGCCGTAATAAATTAGGTGGACGGCGTTTTTGAGAAACAGTTATATTTTCAGGTGTTCTGGGGACTCGGTAATGATGTTCACATTCAGTTACATCTCTGTGAGTTTGAGAATTTGATGTTGAATAATATCACCTACTTTGGCTTAGTCCCAGCTGATGAATGCAGAGATTAGTTTAGTATCTTACTGACCGTAATTCTAGCTTAGAAAGGGACTTTGCAGAAGCACAAAGCAGCTTTACTTCAGATAGGCTCAGCTAGCTTCATGGATTCTGGGATTGTAGGGCGTGAGCTTTGTAAGCAGAAACTGTGGCCTCCAATCCCTAGTAGTACTAAAGTTGGATACTGAGAAGCCTTCTCTAATCTGGTAAATTCACATTCCCTCTTGATCATGTGACTGAGACCATACGACCAAGTCGGTTGTAAACTTTGTGGCAAGTCCGCTCATGTCAGTGAGTCGTATCTGCAGATAGAAAAAGGCATTTGCTTGTTTGTTTGTTTGGTTTTAACCAAGTTCCATCTTTAGACCTTTTAGACGTGTTGGTGGGCTCCTGGTTAAGAATCCGGTTCATGAACACGAGTGAGTTTTGTTACCGTTGCAACATTTGTCTTCTGGATGCTCCGTGGGAGACAGAGTGGAGAGGATGCGAAAGGGTCCTCACGGCAGCTGTGTAGGGGATTTGTACGGGTGCAGCGGAGGCTCAGGCAGGCAGAGACACGTGGCCAGAGAGCGTGGGCACATGAGAACAAGGCACGTGTGCTCGCAGCGTGGCCAGTCACGTGCACTTCTCTGGAAAGTGGGTCTTTCCTGCAGTTACACGGTAGTGACCATGGCAGGCAGAGGATCTGTGAGCAGGCACACTGCACCTGCCTCTCCGGCAGCCAGTACTTCTCAGCCGTTAGAGGTGGCTTTAGATGAGGGGGTTGCCTGCTCTCCTGGCAGAGTCATAAGGGAGGGGGTCTGCTAAGAATTTGCTTTTTCTAAGTAGGTGGCTGAAGGGGGGTACCAAATACAAAACTGCTAGTATAAGCCACCAGTAATAGTTGAATGAGAGAAGGCACGTGTTACATCTCTTTCGCTGTGAGGTGCTGGGGATTGAACTCAGGACCTTGTGCATGCTAGTTAAGTGCTCTGCCCACTGAGCCCAAACACGTTTTAAAGAATTTTTTGAGTTGCCTGGCTTAGCCTCGGATGAACAAGTCCCCTGAGAACCTGGGACAGCAGGCGGGCTCTGCCATTCCCTACGTGCATGACACTTCTGATTCTACAGAGTCTGTGCAGTGGCCAGGGCATCAGGCAGGAGATTATCCTCGCTCTACGAAAGGAAACAGTTTCCAGAAAGGAAAGAAAGACTGACCAGGATCACACACCTCATAGTGTTAGCTTCTCATAGCCAGGATTTTGTGTTGCTCAACTAAGACCTGTGTGATTGGGGCGCGTTTACTCCTCCGTGTGTTGATACATACACTGGGGACTCCTCCAGGATCAGAATTTTTGCTTCGAAGAGAAATTCACAGCTTAGTAGAGGAAATGAATAATTAAATAACGCTTACCACAAACCAGGGACCTATATCAACTGGTCCGTTTTTTTAATCTCTTTTGTGCTATTTGAAAGTACCGGTTCACTCAAACCCCAGCAGGCTATCTCATAGAAAAACCAGCTACAGCTTTTTTGTGGTGGCATCAAGCTGGACAGAGCGAATTGTGCGCCAGGTGGCCACCAGGGCCTGCTGTCCCTTCTCTTCCTGCCTGATTCCTGGATGCATTTGGGGGAACGGTAAGTTCTTTAAGAAACTTGACCGTGACTAGGGTCCACTGGAACAGCTTGAGAGCCAAGGACTTCTTGGAGAGAATACTTGAGCTGCGACGGTGTAGAAAAAGCTGAGGGTAATTGCTCAGACAGAGGCGGCCTTGGAGATGCAGTCAGTGTGGCCATAGGTTTGTCCCTCAAATGACACGTCCCTCTTGGCAAGCCTTTTCTGGGTGGTTCTGCATGCTCAAAACACTGGATTCCATCCTGGCTGTTCAGTATCCTCTTGTTCTAAGAAAATAATCAAAAGGTAGAAAACCCGAGCTTCAGTCATTTTTGATGGCTTCATGCAATCCCCTTGATCTTTTCTGCAAACAGACCGTTCATTGGTGTTTGTGTGTTTTTGTTGTTTGTTTTTTTTTTCTAAAAATTAACTACTGCTGGCTCATTTCATCTCTACCTAGAACTTCCCGATCTGACTGTATTTTAAGATTTTGAACCATGAAGAATAATTCTTACCATTCAGCTCTCCAGAGCCTGAATATGTGTCAAACCTGTGGGGAGAGCTAAGACACGTTTCATGCTGCCAAAATAAGGCTTGCCTTGGAGGGCTGGGATTATGATAACTCAGTGGTGCTAAACTGGCTTGTCCTGAGAATCTGAGAGGGATGGAGATGGGAACATTTTGAGGTCCCCAGGTGTTCCAGGAAGTGGGCACCTTTTTTTTTGTTGTTTTTGTTTTTGGTTTTTTTTTTTTCCTTTTTCCTCCCAACTGTTCAGGGAAAGCTGAGTCACGTGGCAGCTAATGCCTCGGATCCCAGGCAACTTTTTGCTCAATAACTGTTTCCCAAATGGCTACTCAGGGGCCTTTCAGAATTCATGAGAGCTGTCAGTTGTTATAGTAACCGACCCCCTGCTGTCGAGTTGGCCCTGAGATGCCAGTCGGAGCGCTCTCGGAACAGGCTAACACACAGTCATTAGACAAAAGCGGGAGGGAAGCGCAGCTAAAGGTGGCCATTTAAACATGGCCCTTGATACTTCAGAGACAGCACATGTTGCGCTGGCTGGTACAGTTTTAAACAGAGCTCGCTTTCGGGAGAGCTGAGCCTTAGGTGTTTGTTCTAGGCCGGAGTGAGCCATTTTCTTCCAACCTCTCAGAATCCACTGCCCTTCCCTTCCACGTTTAAACCCTTGTGCTTGCTCGGGTTACCCCCTGGTTGTTGGGGAGTATTAGTTACTGGCGTTTGCTTCTCCCCGAAGTGTTGTCAGCTTCTGGGTGGGAGTCTCGAGAGCCTGTGATGGTGCGTGAGGAAAAACTGCGGAGAGATAGCCGGCTCTGCTCCAACATTCCTGAAAGAGTAAAGCTGGCAGAATTCAGAGCGGGGCTAAGGGTTGAAAAAAAAAAAAAGTCTAAATATTTTAGGAAGCTGCAGACTTCAAGTTTTTATGAAAATTTGTAAAAACATTCCAACACACTCGTGGTTTCTTCAGATTAGTGTTCGCAGCCACACAGCTGACTCCTGATGTGTGGAGGACAGTCATTGTAGTGACAGAGTAGTTTCAACAGAGGGAGACAGGAAGTTCTGAACTGTGCACTTCCTCCCCCTCTCAGCCTTGTCCCCAAGTTCTGCTTTCTGTAAAGGTTGGCTCCCGTGAAAAAGCACTTTGACCTCATAGCCAGTCTGGTAATCACCAAAATAACTTATTAAAGTCTTTGTGAAAGGGAGAAGAGAAACATCAACACTAAAAAGTCAAAGGGGTTCATTCCTAGAAGGGAACGGCTGCCGAGAACCGTCTGAGACCTGAGATGGGGAGCAGTGACCATGACTTTACATTGCTGTGTGTGAGTCAGCAGGGCTCCCACAGAAGAGAAGCTTATGTATTAGGGTTTGGCTTCCTTGTTCTGCGGACAGAACTTAGAGTCATTTCAGTGTGACATCCTATAGCCCAGGTGGCTGGGGCCACTCCCATCCAATCAGCCGCCTGCAAGCGTTTGCATGGGTCAGAAAATGCATCCTGAACATGGCCAGCCTAGCGTCCGGTGCTGAGGTTTTTAAATGTTTAAGAGACTCTTGCCAAGTACTGGTGCTGTCTGCTGAGATACGTTCTGTGTAAAACAGAATTGACAGGGACACATGGGAAGAAGACGAAACCCTGCATCTGTCAAGTGCAGAGAAATTGGTGGTGGAAGGCAGGCCACACTGGGCAGTAGAGACCCAGCAAGTTGTGGAAGTTCTTCTGAGCTGTCTGCTTTGGGGACAGCAGAGATGAAGGACGGGCATCTGAATGAGGTCATAATGGTGACTCCCTGACCTTTTTCCGTATCCAGATAAAACCGCCTTCTGATATGTAAGTCATCACTTTGGAGAACAAACCTAGCCATGTTGCATCAGAGACTTCCCTAACACCGTAGCCATTTTTGCATGAGTGCCCCCTTTTGACAATGTTGTACAAGATAGGTGGGTGTCCGCTGTGTGAGTGGAGGGAGGGCATTTGTGCGAAACTCTGGGTGGCCAAGTCAACTACTGTCTTCTACACATGTTCTCTTTTGTTTTTTATCCATTTAGAGGGTGTAACAAAATAAAGTCCAAGGGCTTTCCCAGACGTTCCCGTGAAGTGCCTTCTTCTGGGGAGAGAGGAGAGAAGGGGAGCAGGTGAGGGCGGCCCGGCTTAATGAGGAGTCTCAATGGCTGGGACTGGCTTGCGGAACTTCTGTTTTGTTGCTATGGGGTGACAGTCTTCTAGACAGAAACTGCTGATATGCGCCTGTTCCACCCCACCCAGTAAGATCTGTAAAGCCCAGCTGAGCCTCCAGGTCGCTGCTGTCCCTTGCGGTAGCTCCCGCCCGTGCTTGCTTTGCTTTTTCTGTGGGCTGGGCTGTATTTTTCTGTTCCTGTTGGTCATATGGTGGGTGCACTGCGTTTGCGTGTCTGTATGTATGTTGCATCCATTTTCTTTAAAAAAAAATTCAGAGGTTGCATGTTTAGAGCTTTGTTTTTTTTTTCAAAAGAGCATAATGCATGATTAGAGCTTTGTTTTTTTTTAAAAGCATAATCTATATAAGTGAAAAATGTCTTAATTTATGAATTAAGGGTTAAAAGTAGGAAAGACAGAAAATGAACAAATGTGGATATAACATGCTTTTCCATAAAAAAAGCAAATGTGCATGAATGCTTAATACTTCGAAAATTACTAACCTGCAGAGTTTTATAAGAAGCAATTAGAAGTTGTAAATGTACTCTTCATATCTGCACTTGAACCTCTTGATATTTGTATTGCTTATCTTACATAGACTGTTCAATATTAATAATCGTTTAATGCTAAGTTGTTAAGTAGGGTAGTTGGTCCACTTATGTAGTAAATAGTACATTTGTATTTTCAGTCAATCGGTTTTATAAAATTAACATCTAAGCTTTCCCATGGAATGGCTTGTCTCTGTTAGTTGTCGTAGATCAGGTCACTGAGATGAAATTTCAGTTATATCCCCAGGATCATCAAACAGAGCTCTGATAATGGAGGAAGAATTTTGACAGGTGAATGAGAAAGCCCATGGCTGGCCCATCTTTATCTGGGCAGTTCTGGCCCTGTGCACAGCACACTGACACTGGTGATGTCATTATTCCTTTCTGTGACTTTTTTAACCCTTTTAAGTCTCCAATTTTTCGTATGCTTTCAAACCTCCAGCAGCTTTTTAAAATATGGGACCAGAAACCTCTCTTTATAGCTTTCAATTCAAAGATCTTATCTTACGAGAGGGGTCTGTGGACATCACATGAACAACTGTTACACCCTGTCCATGATAACATTTCTTCCCATGGACATCACTTGAACCATCGTTATACCCAGCCCATGGTGACATTTATTCTATGGACATTACTTGAACAATTTTTAAACCCAACCCATAATAACATTTATTCCTTGGATAAATGTAATTTATCACTTGAGTTATTTTTGTAGCCAGTCTATAGTGACATGTCTTACTGTGGTGCTTTAAAAACCCAGCATGTCTCATGCACAATACAGAGGTAAATGCCTGTGCAGCTTCTGAGGCTCACAGACATGATGCTCGGCCTGCTTATATGCTTGGCCCTTACATGGGAGCACACTTGCCACAGGCACACTGTGTTTGGTACAGGAGATACCTCATTCCTGCAGTTTGTGTCAAGGAATCTGATAGCTTTGCTTAAGACTGAGGGAAATGTAAGTTAATTCCACCTAAGTCCATGCTAGAAATTATCTTGAAGAACGGCAAGTATTTATGGACTCAACCTAACTGTGAGTTGTGTAGCATAAAGTGAATTTTCTACAGTGGGCCTATGAACACGGACCTTGACTCGGAGACGTGTGGATTGGTAACTCGAGCTCTACCACTTCCTGGCTCCATGACCAGGGATCCCTTTGAGACTCCATTTCCGCATCTAGAAAATGGGTCTATTCAGAACTCACCCTCTTAGGGATGGCTATGAAGATTAAATCTGGAAGGCTTAGTTAATACCCAAGAAAAAGACATTGAGACTCTGAGGAGGTAAGTGACTTGGCCAGGCAGTCCCGCGGAAGGGGATGACTTGGGTGGGGCCTCTTCTCTAGGCAGCTAGAGCTTACACAGGTCCTTTCTCTTTAGCTCTGTGCTGTGTTCAGTACTTTACGAGGAAGAGCATGGCCTGATAGAAACTCTGTCCTCAGGGGCTCAAGCTCAAGGGTTTCTTATCTTCCCCAAGGAGATGCTCTGACTATGTGATTCCTCCACAGCCTCCAGTCACCTACTCCCTTGTGTGTTCTGTATGTTTACGGCCAGCAACCCACATGCTCTTCCGTTGCTCCATATTGTACCCACTCTCCTTAGCTGCTAACCCATCTCCACACCAAAGAAGGACGCTTAAAAGACATCCCACACTAGCTCAGCATTGAGAATAATAGAGGGTTATTTATTTAGGGGTAGCTTACAAATCAGTATCCTCTGCTGGAACGGAGAACAGAAACCAAATCCCGCAGCTGGAAAAAAGGCCAGATGCATGCTTTACACGGGCATAGGTAGTGTAAGAGGCCACGCCCCAGTGGGCGGGTAACTTAAGGGCTACTGGGTGTCGGATTTCCTACAGCACCATACTGCATAGTTTCCTGGTGCTTGGGCTGCAACCTCTCCTAGGCCTCCATTGGAGTCTGGGCTCTCCCTCCTCCTCCTTCTCATCCTCCTCCTCCTCCTCCTCCTCCCTCCTCCTCCTCCTCCTCCTCCTCCTCCTCTTCCTCCTCCTCCTCACATGGCCTGCACCCATTCAAATATGCAGCCTGGAATGAGGAGGGAAGGAAAGCCTCCAGGGATGCTGGGAGAACAGCACTACACATAGCCGCAGGAGCTGGGTACAAGCCTGACGTGATACCTGCCTTCTAGCCCTGCTTCTGTGATGCTTTTCTTATCTGTTTCTCTGTGGGCACGAGGAAGGGCCATGCCTCTGAGGCCCCAGATCCTGGAAGATGTGAGCCAAGGATAAAACTCTGAAAACCAGACTCAAGTGTCAAAGTTTTCCAAAGAAGTTGACTTAAATTTTGAATAAGTAGTATTTGGCATAACTCAGAAAAAATGTTTGAAATCATGTAGACCCTCACAGTTCTGTCTGCCCACCTTACGTCCACCTCCTTACAACAGAGGCTCATCTCTGGTAATTTATACATTATTCAGGAATTTTTGATATCTAAACAGATAGGGCTGTCTCCGTGCCCCTTTTTACATAATAAATACTGCATGTCTTACCCATGCTTGGCCTTGTTTGAGGTAACAGTTTTCTCTAGGCATCTATAGTTCCCCTGTTTTGGGGGCGGTGGTTTTAAAATAGACACGTCACAATTTGTTCAAGCAGTCCTCCAAGGCCGTCAGTTTTGTCACAACACAATGCTGTGCTGAATAACTCTGCTAGCGTGTCATTTTGCACATGCATAAATACAGCTGCAGGATCAAGTTAGGGAAACGGTGGCATCGGAGGGTGTCGGGGAGGCTTTGAATAGAGTGACCCACTGTCCTCTGCCTCTGACTCAAGGGGGTTTCAGTTAGCAGTGCGTGTCTGGAGCTGCCCCTCCAGTGCTGGGCGCCATGGCCTCTGCTAACTCTTCGGAGATGGAGCAATAGTATCAGTGTACTTCTGATATGTTGCCATTTATTGTAAGGAGATCGAACCATTTGTTTTTCCCTTTCTTTAAAACAGTGATTTTTCTATTTTACCCATACCATAGCCCTCTAACAAAGTTCCTCATGCTGTGGTGACCCCCAACCATACAGTTATTATCATTGCTGCTTCATAACCATAATTTTGCTGCTGTTAGGAGTTGTAGTGCAAATATCTGCTACACAGGATATCTGATATGCAACCCCTCCGAATGGACCATCTGACCCTCAAGGGGTTATGACCCATAGGTTGAGAGCCACTGCCTTAGAAAGTCTCTCCAGTCTATGACACTTGTTCCCAAGTTCTTGTATGGATACATATTTAAAAAAAAAATAAGAACCAGTTCTTGATCATTGGGAATGTCACCTGGATGACAGTGGGGTGTCTTTTGGCAGGAGGATACTCTCAAGTTTCACAAGTATTGCTACAATGGAGATGACCAGTAAAAACACACACGGCATCTTCCTAGATCCTGAAATATTAAGGCTGCTAAGAATATTACAGCAAGCCAGACATGGCACTGCACACCTTTAATCCCAGCGCAGAGGAGGCAAAGGCAGGTGGATCCTGGTCTACGTAGTGAGTTCCAGGACAGCCAGGACTACCCTTCATACTGTGATAAGCACCTGTAGCCTTATTCTGGATACTCAGAACATCCTAGGATAAGGGTCCAAAGGCACAACAGCTTTCTCAGAGACCCTGCTGTCAAGCCTTTCCCAGGGAGATGAACTGTGAGGGGTTTATCCCATTGGATCTGGCTGAAATACTGAAAAGAGCATGCTCAGGTTACTGGCTGTGGCTTAGGAAGTGACCTCTGCTCCCCCATTTCCTTGAAAGTGCCCTGCAGTCATCCCTAGGGGCCGAGGAGGATTTCTTGGCAAAATAATGTTGAGCAAGAAAGAGCATTATTATCTCAAGGCCACTTCTGTGTCTGCAGTTCATTTTCTCCCCTTTCCCAAAGAAATTCACGACAGGCAGTGACCCATCCAGCAGCATTCTTCATGTGGAAATCATGTTTTGTGTGTGTCACTTTTACCTATGACAAGGATGAGTTAGGACATTGCTGCTCCCTGTGTGAAATCCCCAAGACCTGGGAACACTTTCTCCGGAGTCTCTGCATTCCCTCTCCTGCCTCTCTATCCTCCGAGTGATCTCCTTCTCTTTTCTCTCCTCATTTTCCCCTCCCCTGTCCCACTGCACACCTCATTTGTCCAGAGCACAACAAACGCATGCCCAAGAATCCCAGCCACCCTGATGTGAAACACGCCACATTATTACCCCCAAAGCACGTCCTGATTTGTCAGATTTTTGTGTCCCCTTTCATGGCTTGGAAAATATGCCAACCAGAAGCATATTTTGGTTTCTGAGTCTTCCGTGCTGGAAGAGCCCTTCCGGAGACTACACTGTGTAAACTTTAGCTGCATGAACCGGATCGCTTAACAGGCAGTGAGGAAAACTCAACAGCAAGTGGGTTGTTGTGTATGAAAAAAATCTCA